AAGAAAAATGTACTCCATATTTTCTTATATACGCGAATAAATGCCCCTTTAATAGGAATTGGAGGTTTATAATTTCAGGTGCGCGCCGAGCGATTTAAGAATCTCTAAACTTCTGTTGAAACTGACACCAATCTGCAAACGTTGTCGCAATATCCACACATATCGTTCATTGGGACAATCAGTGTACATGTGCACTCCAAACCAATTGAGCATCTCAAGTCAAGGTCTCTCTCATAAACAACACTTTCCAGACATTCTACGACTGATAATGGTCATTCCTGTAAGCTTTACAGCTGCAATCCATTTTAAAATGTGATTTAATAAGACCCTCTTTTGATCGTGTCCCGATGTCAAGTATTTGCGAACCATATTGTGGCTGTACTTTTCAAGGGAGTATTGATAACATGGAGCGATGAAACCCCGTTCAAGTACTCCTCATGAGACAAAGGCAATAGCCTTTATCAAATATTTGTACCGGTTGATAGCAATAGGCAATATTTCCCTCCATTAAATCTGCTATCTGCCCCTCAAACCTTTGAGGCAAAGGAATTTGAATTCAATCTGCAGATGTTTGTCGATTTCTGAAAGGTAACGACCAAACACCTATACCAGCCGGTACAATGTTTACGCGTTAGCCCATTCCCTCTAATTGCCGCTATCTTGGTTTACTAGCATCGCTGGGCATTTCCCACAATGAAATTGACAAATGAGGATGTGGAACTTACACTGGTCACTCTCTCCCTCCTCCGTAATGGCCAAAGTTGATAAACACAAAGGAATTAGGTTGATAAGCGTTGATACGCCATGGGAATTATGTCATCCTTCAGTGACGTCATGCTAATGACATCATAGATCAATTGCGTGACAGGCATCCGTTTGAAAGGTTATCACAACGAAGGTGGTGTTATTGACAAGGAAACATACATCACTGTCCACCACGTGGGTCTGTCATGTACATATCGCCATCAAGGGAGTTGTAAAACACAATTACAATCAAGAAATCGCCATTTGCCTTGATGTGCTATGATAAGGGTATTTGCTACAGTTATGAACTTTCATTGACTCTCTATTAAACAGATATTATAATTTACATGGTGATGACTTTAATGTCGAGCCTATGAGATTTTATGACATTATTTCATGGTTATAAGTTTCATAATGTCTTTATAAATGACAAACTGACAAAGCACAGAAGTTTAAAGTTAACGTAAACTGTTGGTTTGGCCTGTGAACATTCGTCTAACTGTTGTACATATTTCTAAAATAAATGGGTCACCCCGAAGACCCGAGTTCGATTCCCACATGGGTACAATGTGTGAGGCCCATGTCTGGTTTCCCCTGCCGTGATATTGCAGGAATATTGCTAAAAGCGGCGTAAAACCATATTACTCAATCTCCAAAATAAGAATGAAAAAGTCATCTATCACAGATTCTAAATACATGTATCTGTACATAGTGTCTACATATCAATTAACTGTAACATTTTCACAAGTATCGTGTACACATGTACCGTATCACGAGGGATATATTCAGTGGAATATCACTAAATAGGATTCTGACTAATCCGGATCTCTGTCAATCCCGGACGTTATGGACGGTCCCAAATTAACCATGTTCATTTATCATCAAGTCAAATCTCTCGAATCCGGATTCTTTCACTGCGGTTTGCGTGAGACAAATTGCCAAGTCATCGTGTAATGGACGCTTTTCATCTGTTTTGTGTCATCTTGCAGTATATGTTACATACTGGAATATTCTATTGGCACTCACGTGTCACCGACGGTGGTATAATTTGAGTAATAACTTGTGTGTGTCGGAAGGCACGCTAGCAGGCAATCGTCAAGCTGCATATTTATAACTAATATATGATAACATTTAGAATAATAAATAGGATATCCACTATTTCTATAAAAATACACGAAATCATAACAGCTTCAAACAGAAATGCCGATTTTCCAAGTTGTTTTTTTTATTTACCTGGAAACTACTGCATTAACAATTTATTCGGAAAATGAACAAAACGGAAATCAATTTTATAACCTTTTCTGTACTATCTAGGTTACCGCATCCGTTAGGATAGACAAGCCAAGGACACAAGCCTATTTCCTTAATACATCAATTATGAAAGTCTTTATTAACCAGCCCCTGGGAGAACACGTCCAGTGTACGCTATAGTATGTTTATGATAGGAGGACCATGTCTCAATACGGATGTATGTCGGGCAACGTACATCTGGGAAATGATTTCCAAGTCTGATTTCAATTCCAGGCAAAAGCTGGTTCCATTTTAGAACAAAGCAGCATGGATGTTACATGCCTTTGCCGTATCAGCGGCATCATTGTTTAGACAAAGGGGAATTCCACTACATTGTCTGGTTGGACGGTGCCATTGTGGTGTTTCTCCCAATGTCTTTTATAAATATTCATTAACATTGCACATGGCAGTTTTCTGTTTAATTGCTGCCTTCCCCATAGTCTGTCTTACAGACCCTGATACAAATATATATCAAATACAGCCCATGCAAGTCTATAATGTTTGGCAAGTCTAGATCACTGCAGTCTATCTGAAAATGAAGAGAGTCACTGGGCTCCATTTTATTATATTTTTATTAAGATAACTGAACAACATTTCAGAGACTAGATTTTAGTCTACCTTCCCCAGTTCAGTAGTACTGAAGATATCGACACCATGGGAACTCTAAAATCCCTATCACCATTGACATTGATCACCTGCTCTGTGATGCTATAAAATATGTTTATTTCAACTGCATCTTGTTTTTTAATTGTCAATATCACCTTCTCGTTAGTTAACTAAACAATTAGCTAATGAGTGTAACAACTGGCTTTTTCAGTAAATATTTGGATTTGTGAGATTATAAACTTTGCTTAATGTTTTGTTTGAGATAGATCTCCAAAATAACACCAGACCATATATTTGTCTTCTACATTTGGCCATGGCAATCAGTTGAGCCCCAAAAACATGAATTGATCTTCAGCAAGCCAAGCTTAAGAGGGATCAGGTGGTCAGGCTTGCTGACTTGGTTGATGCATGTCATTGTATCCCAATTGGACTGATGCTCATGATGTCAATCACTGGATTGTATGGTCCAGACATGATTATTTACAGACTACTGTCAGGTATTAAACAAACAAACAAAAAAACATCATGGACTCTTTTTCCACCCGAGCTTCATTTTGAGTTGGATTCAGAATAAATAGAAGCAGCTGCCCAAACAAAATACATGTACGCTCTTGAATGAGAAAAGATCTTAGTGATGTTAATGATAAAAGTAAACAATGACGTCTAAGCAAAGCTATGGCACCCAATGTGCCCAGGGTATACAAATACGATTGTCATATAACACCCTGGATAATCGAGGATGAAAAACATCTGATCTGATCTAAATGTGTCCATTGACTACTTCATCATCCAAATGTACGTCCTATGTCTACTCCCCAGGGAGCTGAGAATGAAAAACGAGTGCACGCTGATCTATGTAAGGGGGATGATAATGCAGCGTTTCAAGCATATATTGGGTGTGGAGTTGTGTCTTTACAGGAGGACTTTTATATTGTCGTAATTAACAATGTCAGGATGTTGCAGTGACCCACATATCACCCCCAGCCACTCCCCCCTCCTTACACCCACCAATGTTGTTCAATGCTTTTGTGTTGACTGAGAAAGGGAAACTTCAGTTTATATTCAAAGTATAATGATGCACCAAAAGATTCCACATGAAAGGAAAACCAATTCTCAAATTTGTTTATAATAATTTAGCATTTATTTTGAAAATAGTAAAAAATATATATTTACACAATGTACAAAACATACATTTTTCACAATGTAATCAAACACAATAACACATATAGCAACTAACACTGTGGCATGGCCGTAAAGTCAAAGAAGTCAACATTTTTTTCAAGTCAAATCTAGATGTGTCATTTTAAAGAAAACATTCTGGTCATTGTAGAAAAATTACATTTTTTTAAAAATTATATGACATATAAAAAGAATATAAACAGCAAATTCTGTGTAAGCCTAATAATAAGCTGAATCTGAAGTATATGTTTTACAAACAGAAATAGAAAAACAATTCATATGAATTAACTAGAGATTTTCTTTTCAAGTCATATCTTTTGATAACACTCTTCGTGTCAGATTCAGACACTTGTAATGAAAAACATATACCAAAGCATATATTTTACTTGACAATTCATATTAAACATGTTAAATAACTACATTTTCATTTGTTTTGAGACTGCCAACTCTTAGTCTTCTAACTATTAACCTGAGGCACTTAATTATGACTCCATCATGTATATGACACAAAGACTAATACATCTATCAAAGAATGACTTTTCCTGGGTCAGAACAATAACGTGAAAAGAACACCAGACACTGAGTGACACTGACAAAAATATGACAGCAATGAAACATGGATATGGGACTGGCAAATAAACAGGGATATGATTCACATGATGAGAATGATAAAACATGTCTTATTTGGAACACATTTCTTTACATTTTCGTTAGTTTTGCTTAATTTTAAATTATGATGGACAAGTTTCATAAGAAACTGGAATGAAATTGATATTGATTCTCGGAATTTTTTACAGTAAAGCTTTGATTATGACTAGATGTTGATAATGAATTTGTATTTTTTTGTTTTGATGTTTTGGAATGAATTTAACACAAAACATTGAACTTGATATGAAACACAAATATTTTAGGCTACAAAAAATCTTAGTTCTCAAGCACAAAAATAAAATATTCCTTTTGAAGACATTTTAGTTCTTTTTTTAACAAAAGCATTAAAAAAACATACTTTACACACTTAAAATGTTCAAGTTTGGTCAAATGTTGATAAAGGTCTTCACTCAGAACTGAAAGTTATTTCTCTTGTCAGCCTAAAATATTTGTTAATTGACATAAAATCAATGTCTGGAAATTTTGATTGACACACAGACATCACACACAAGTAGCACCATTTTTGCATAATTTTACATAATTTTGCGTTGATTTAATCATAAAACATGGCAAATTCTCTACGAAGTCTTAGTGAGATTTGATCTCTCTGTTCCATGAAATGTTAGAGATAGCTCATGTCTTTGAAATCAGTTCATTTAACACTTCAACATAATAACAACAATAACAAGTCTTTAACACTGACATGAAGCTGTGACATGTCCCGAACATGTATGTCTCTATCACACATTTGAATGGCAAACACCTCCTCACATGGTAACACAGATTCTCAATACTGGAAAGGATGTCCGAATACTGATATGCCACGAAAACGTCAAGCGTGAGACATTTTCTCACATGGTTGAGAAAAAGTATTTCAAATAATTGAAAAAGAACATATCTCTCTTAGCCAAGACACATTTCTCACGCTGCATGTTGAAAATACTGCTCCCATGTTCTACACAATAATATCCTTATTGATATTTTCCTTGAAAAACAATCTATCAATTTCATCACAGAGTTCTTCGGGATCGACAGTATAGCTGCCGGATGTTGTCGTGTCATTATCCCATGCGGAAGTGTTCATTTCACTCGCAGTGTCATCAATATGATGCATGCGTGACATCTTATGTCCATTCATGTCCATGTACTCTCCTTCAATCGTGGGATGTTTTAAATGCACATATGTCCCTGCGTCTTTTGGTCCTCTGTGTCTACCCCCATTCTGAGATAACTGTCCATAAGAAGCACTATAGGTACCTCGTGGAGGTAATCCATGATTTGGATGCGGATTGTTTTTCATTCTCGGAGGTATCGAGAGTCTTTGTGTGGCAGGTGCAGAGTTATTTGCCCTTGCCCGGTAGGGAACAGCACCATTATGAAGATGATTATCAGGAATCTGTTTGGACTGAACAGAACCGGACAGTGAGGAATTGTCATAGCTTGTTCCATGGGCATCGCTTCCATAGAATGTAGAGAAACTTGCTGCTGGAGAAGCTGATTGGTGATCAACAAGAGTCTTTGGATGACGAGGATGACCAGAGAAGGACATATCTGTAATTGTAAAGAGTGAAAACATTACAATACTTACAATAATAGATCAAAGTTAATAATTATTAAAAAGGAGGTACTTAAAATATCATACAAATTCATATAATTACAAATTTCAATTCTTGTTATGACTTTTTTCATACCTGATTCCAAAACATTGGAGGATCCCCCATGACTCTGTAATTCAATGTCACTGCCACCTCTGCCACTGTCACTGATGCTGACGTCACCCGACAGATCGCTGCCACTGTCATCATGGAAACGGATGTGGGTGTGGTTCTTCTCGTTATCATCTTTGAAAGTAGAAAACTTCTGCTGCTTCGACTTGTGTTGTTTCTTGTTCTGTAACAGTGAACAATACAGTTATTAATGTGGAAATATTATCCAAAAACAGTATTTCAATGACTAATTATTAAAACAGTACAATTACATTTTTAAACCAAATTCTGCATTGGCATCATAAAAAAACACTATTCGATCAAAAACAATTTTCACACTTACATCATTCTCTGTGTCTTCTGGGATAGTGAAGAGACATTCGTTGTTGCGAGCGTTGAACCCAACAGATCCAGATGACAGGGAGACATTGTTTTCCTCATCCAATGAGAAACTGACCTCCTTCTCCTTCTTCTCTCCATCCTTCTCAGCTAGAGGAGTTGTGGAGTTTTTTGATGAGGAGGAGATGCTGCTTCCCTGCCTCCTCATGCTTGACATGACCTTCTCCTCCTCTGCCTTAGCTCGGTACAGCCTCTTCTTCTTATCTGAACTTCTGAGAAGGCAAATGGTTGCCACGACGATGACAGCAAGAAGGATGGTGACACCAACCAGAACCATGGCAGTGATGATGTTGATGGATCCTTGGTTGGAGATGGATAATGTAGCATTTCCTAATATGACTTCAATAAAGAGCTCTGACTGGGTAGCTCTCTGGGGTGAACCATGATCTTGAGCAACAACCATGAGGCTGTAGACAGTGGTGATGTGTTTGGACTCAAGCTGTTTCCTAAGGCGTACTATACCAGTCTTGTGGTCGATGATGAACACAGCACTCCCATTGCCACCTTCAATGAAGTAGGAAACTTCAGCATTACGTTCTACGTCCATATCAACAGCAGTGATTTCAATGACAGGGGATTCAATTCTCTGGGTGTGTGGCATCGTCACTGTGTTGTTAGCCTGGGTTGGGAAGATGATGACAGGTGTGTGGTCATTGATGTCTTCCAAGGTTACCACAACTCTAGCTGTGCTGCTCATTGGGGGTTGTCCAAGATCAGTTGCAACTACAACAAATTCATAATGATCTTTGGTCTCTCTGTCCAGGATGCGGTTCGTCTTGATTACACCATCAGCATACACAATAAAGGGGAAGTCACTTCTTGTAGACCCATGGAGCTGGTACATGATGATTGCATTTTCATCTAAATCTGCATCGGATGCAGTGATCTGCCCAACACTGGTATAGCTGGGTGATTCTTCAGGAACGAAGAGTTGGAATTTACTCATGTCGAAGACAGGGGCTTGATCATTGACATCATCAACAGTGATGATGACTGTGGTAGTAGCAGTCATCGCAGGGTTACCTTGGTCAACAGCAAGGATCTTAGCTATCACTTCAGGGTATTCTTCTCGGTCAAATTCCATTGCTGTCACCAGAGTTCCATTGTTGAAGATGCTGAACCTGTTACCATGATCGTCCTGAACTTTGTAAATGAGTTGAGCATTGGTGCCATTGTCTGCATCTGTAGCAGTGAGTGTCATGACAGAAGTTCCAATGTTCCTGTTCTCAACGATATTTGCATAATAAACATCTTCTGGAAATTTAGGTGCATGGTCATTTTCATCGATTACTCTAACTAAGAAGTTTTCCTGGACCGAGAGCGAAGGAGAGCCCCCATCATGGCAGACAACAGACACATTGTGAAAGGGAACCGTTTCACGATCAAGAGCATTCACAAGGATGACCTTGAACTCATTCTTGTCAAGGCCACGGAGCTCAAAGGAGGAGTTTGGCATAGAGCACTGAACATTTCCATTCGAACCTGAGTCTGGATCTTCCACAGCAATATGAGCAACAACACGACCAACTTCTGAAAATTCAGATATCTCTGCAATGCCACTGTCATGAAACACATTGATGTACAGCTCTGGTGCGTCGTTGTGAGTGTCAATAATGGTGACAACTACTACAGTTTGTGCAGTCTTTGAAGGAACTCCATGGTCACGAGCTTCCACAATGACTTGATGCGTCTTCCCAGCTTCATACTCCAAGGATCCAGCTGTTCTGAGTTCTCCTGTGTTGTGGCCAAGGTTGAAAAGGTTGAGGACACTTTCAGGTTGTCGGGGCATGAAGTGGTAACTGATGTTAGCATTGTTGCCAGCATCAGTGTCGGTTGCTGACAGACGAAGGATGACACTGTTAGCAGCAGTCGTCTCGGAAATGTTCAAGGTGTATAGGGTACTGTCAAACACAGGGGGGTTGTCATTGATGTCCGAGACACTGATGTGGAGGGTGAGGGTTCCAGTTCTCTGGGGTGATCCACCATCGCGTGCATGGACAAAGAGTTGGTAAAAGCCTGTTGTTTCCCTGTCAAGTTTCTGCACAAGCTCCAGTGAGATAGACATGATGCCTGTTACTCCAGCAGTAGTGATGAGTACAAACGGACTGTCCTTTGGTTGAAGATCATAGCTCTTCACAGAATTATTAACACCAGTGTCTCTGTCCACCGCGCTGATCAGTGGGAAGTTAGAGCCAGTGTTGGCTCCTTCAGAAATCTGCAGAACATAAGTTGATGTCATGAACTCAGGAGAATTGTCATTAATGTCATTCACGTTAACCTCCAGCTGGATCTTCTTGAAGAAGGAACCAAGATTTGATTGTGCAACAGCTTCAAAGGTAAGTTTGCAAGTGTTGAGGAAATTACACAAAGTCTCTCTATCAAGTTCTCGAGCTGTGGTAAAGTTTCCGGTTGTGCTGTCGATGGAGAAGTTGGAGGTGTGGGGATTGCCTTGGGTCAGGAAACTGTATCGAAGTCGATGAAACTCCTCCTCGCTAACATAGTCTCGGAGGTTGGCATCGTTGCCAATGTTCCCCAGGATGCTTCCTGCAGGTTTTTGTTCATCTATGCTGTATGTGAGGGTAATGGCAAGTGTCAACTGAAAGCTGGTCAGCAGAAGAACGCCTCGGATGATACTGTTCGACATCTTCGATGGATGGTCAGAACTTGTCGTGTTGTTATCGTTATAGCTTCATGTACAGAGATCTTTCAAAGAGAATTCTGAAATGAAAGAAAGAAACATTAGCAATATATCCACTGGCATCTTTACCATCAAAGTAGTTGAAATGGACTTATGTATAAAAACATCCAGCAAAACCTTTAACATAATCATAAGAAATTGTACAGTCATGTCCATATCATAAGCACCAGTATCATACAAAGTACTTTAGTTTACATAATAATAAAAAATAATCATGTTAATGGCAATTTTCTAAAAAAGGATTTGGAAAAGAAATAGGATCTCTTAATATACAGAATAGATTGGCATATCCAAAGACCACATTGAGAACAGCATATTTTCAACAGGTAGTAAGACAGGAGAGCATTATACACCATGGATGACAAGAGAGGAACCACGAAGTGTTCCTTTTACCTGATGTAGCAAGCAACATGAGCACAAGAAGAACACTTGAATGATGTCCATGTAAATGGATGGGCCATATATATACACACACTGTTTATCCAAATAAGTTTAAATCCTGCAATTATCCCAATCCTTTGAAGTGTTTAAGAAATACACACAAGATCTATAAATCCTAACATCTAAAGGCAAAACATTAAGAAATTTAAAATACAAAATCAGACAAATCCTATCCAAATAAACTTGTGTCTACCTATGTTAAAACAGTTTCATTCCCATAGCTCTCTGATCAGGTGACTGACTGGCTAACTAACTGGCTGACCGACTAACTAGATGGCTCACTGGTCAGCTACTGACTGACCATCCACAGGCTGTCTGGGAATAGGAGTCCCACATGGCCTGCAAAATCTACACCTGTGCTGGGGATTAGTTACAGTGGATTAACGAGGATTAGGAGTTGACGATGGATTAAATCTGCAGGTATGTAGGTAACACCCGAGGACCTATTGTCCCATTGCATTAAGCTACCTATGATATGTGTAATGTACAATGATTGGGTGGAAGGATGTAAAGTGTTTAGACAATGAGACTTGCTACTAAGCAGATGTTGTGATGTGATTCTAAGCTACTAGTGGTAAATTTAGGATTTTAACACTTGCCTGATATAATTGGTGGATTGATTTCACACAGTATCACTGAATGATTACACATTTTTAGATTGATGAGGAAATTTTGAGACATAATTTTACCAACATCAATAAAATTAGCAACATGGTCAATTTCAAATAGTTATCAACTGAGATTGATTAAATTAAGATTACCAAATAAATGACATAAATTTGGAGATTTGTTTACAGACAACTCCCAACAAACTGATTTTATTAGATATTAATAATGAATTACAACACTAAGCATCAGTTCACTATTTTAAAAAAATATCAACATATTAAAATCTCAAAAAAGTATTCTGGATATAAAACAATCACTAAGTCGGTGAAAGGTGTATCTTATAAAATCATTTAACATCAAAAAGATTTGCTTACCTCCAATAACCAAATGTGAATATGTCCAATATATTCCTATATCAATGAAATCCACACACGTCAATATCAGTATAATCCAGTATATCCTCTCAAGAAGGTATCCACACACTGTTGTCAATTTCAAACACCTTCCTCATGTCTCAGCTCTCTACAAGCATGTCCCCACTCCCTGACACCGGGAGTAATACTGACAGGCTTGACCCCTTCTCGTATCAGCCAGCACGCTGACTAGGATATCACATGTTAATTGCAGCCTCTGTCATGCCTGCCTTTCAGTAGCATTTGATTGACAGCTAAAGATCACCCTGCTATTGGCAAGCGGCTGCACAGTGCTAAGCTAACCGGCAATTAGTCTTGCATCACAGTTGCGTGACCCCTGACCTCCCACTGAGAATGCCTGAGCCTATCAGCACTGACCACTATGAATAGCCTGAGTGGACATTAAGTGACCATTAGGTAACCAATCACCTGGGATCATTAACTTGTTTGTGTACCTTCAGCCAATCACAGGACAGGGGCCACTGAGGGGTGGGACAAGGGTACTGGGGAGTGACCACCTGTCAGATTTTAATTTCCTTTTTTTTCTTATTTCAAAATTCAGCATTACAAACGAATCGTTTACACTCAACCGACTTTAATTCAACACTGTTATTTTTATAAACATTTTCCTGTTTCTGCCCAATTCTTGTAACTATTATATACTACTTAAAAGAAATTAAAGAACATCAAATTCTTTCTCATTACAAGGCAGGACAGATTAACTATAGTTATATGAAAGAATCCTCTCTTCCCAAGTTAAAGAACATCCTATCTTTCATATTTCTAGTTAAGCATCTCAAACCAGCTATATGAAAGAATTGGGTGTTCTTAACTTCTTTTGAGCTGTATATATTTTCTTTAGAATGTTGTGAAAGAAAAAACAATGATTGCACATATTGAACTTATATGAAGACTTCACAACATGTATTAAACATCTTCTAAAATCATAATTCCCCACACAGTCAATGAAGTATATATATATATGTAATTAACATTTGAATATTCTAATAACACTTAAATTAACCTAAAAGTGTAAACTGTAGTATTTGATAAAAGCACTGTAACAAAAACACTATTTCCGAAATAGATCCTTCAGTAACCTTTTCATCTTTAAAGAGCATTTTCCCCACCCCTACATCCTCCATATACCCCCTCCCTCCCCACCCCTCGTACCAATGGCCTCATTACCCATACAGCCCTCTGTTAATGTAACATTGTTGACCAATCTCGGTCACCAAGAAAGCCATTAAAAGACAGTTACAAGTCAACGACACACTGCTTCCACCCTGGCCCTGGCACCCCACAATTGGCCTACCTTCACCCACACCAGTCTACCCTGTACTTAGAAACAGCAATAAACCCTAACAATGGCCTGCCACAATACACCCTGACACATTCCATTTCATAACATCATGTACATTTCGTGTAAGTGAAAAGAGACCCCATATTTGCAAGCCATTACAACCAAGTTTGATTTGTACAAATTACATACAACAAGTTTGGTCACATTCATGATCGCACATTCTGTTTGTTATACTGAGTTAAATATTCAGCTGCATATCTTACTTAATGAGACTAAATTTGCATACATGACATTTTTATTAACTTGGAAATGTTCAATCCCCACAATGCAAAATAAATTACATAATGGCATCAGTATCTTATCATTTCTTGATTAAAGTAATTAGAGTGGATCAGCTTTATCACAGTGAAGAGGTGTAACAAAGAAACTTCAAAAACACATTAACAAATAATCTTGCGCCATATAATTAATGCAAGAGTCAGAGGGTTATTACAAATTTGTTTATTTCATTGATTTGATTTTAAAAAACAACATTTAGTATATATATATTATTTCAATTTTAATTTTTTCTAAATATCCCTAGACAAATTGGTTCCCCCCCAAAATTAAATCAATGCAACAGTGAAATACATTGCACTCAGACAATGACACACTTTTAAATTAAAAAGCACTATTCAACCTGCTCATTTCAAACAGTTATATTAAATGTCATACATTTCATTGCCACTGTGATCCATTGCAGTCTGTAATGTACATGGCATGTGACACACATGTGTACAACATGGCTGTGATATGTGATATATTTCATGTCAGGTGGAGCAAATGTGGTGTGATAGACCTGTCCTGCCCTGCCACACTGTTGAATCACTGTGTGCAACTGTAAGGAGTTTTTAATCACCTCACTGACATGATGAAATGAAGAGTGTCATTGTCTAAGTGGGATGTATTTCACTGTTGATCACCCTCATAGCCACACATGGCGAGGATGACCACTGATTTATCATGTCAGGGTTAATTAGGACAACTTCAAGGATGGAATAAAGTTAGTTTCATTTCAATTTAGACGAATTCTTTAAGCATGTCCTCCCATCGATTTTCATTAATGTTGATTCTTAATTAAATTTACAATGAAATAAATCATACACATGGCTGAATGGATTTTTTTTTTTAAAAACACATTCCACCAAAACAAGCCAATTTCATTCTCGACTGATAAATGTTTTGTAACATGGTTGTTCAAAATGATATTTTCAAGCCATGAAGGCTAGAACATTAAAGATAATCTCTACATTCTGCTTCAAAGTTATATATCTAACCAACATATGGCAAGGTGCAAAACATAAGGTTTGTTTACATGTATAACAGTTTATTACTATTTCCTCTGAAGCCACCATCAACAAAATTCACACATCCCGTCTTACTTAATGCAATCCATTCAAATCAATTTCACTGAGTTGGCTGTGGGTGTCATGTACATTTCATGGATACCAAGGGATTACCTGTATCCAAACCATATGCCAGACTTCACCAATGCCTAATCCCCATGAAAATTAATCATCATCGAAATGAGTCAACATTACTTAAACATGTTTATCATAATCCGTCATAATGGTACACTGAGAACTGAAAAGTCAGTCTTTATCTTTACCTTGTTACTAACAAGGCCGCTATCGGCATGTTAATCTAAGTGTCAATTTCATTTATATCAGCATCTTGTAATTTTTATCTAATCATGTTGGGGGTGTTATTAGATTACTTGACTCTTATCCATGGTGTTTTGTTTGGTGTAAGATTCTGACAGTGCTATCAACGGTGTCTTTGACCTTCTAAACATGTCATTAGCTAGTCTGTCTGAAATATACATGCATATATTGCATAAACAGCCCATGATTGACAGCTGAAGATTGAAAAATGGTTGTTTGTTTATCAAGATTTGAGGATTGAAGAAAAAGATGAACATTTTTTTTACGTCCAAAACATCTTTTGCAGAGTTAACAGTTGAAAAATAAATAACACAATTTGATTTTCAACAACAAAAATTAATGTAATGATATCTTAGCTTTTTAGGAAAGAATAAATTTTTGGAAGGAATTTTCAAATGATCTATACTTGACACTGAGATAACACTATTTCTATTTACAGCACAAATCCTCAAAACAGAGTCACAGAACACTTCAACTGTTTTCAGACCTCTTGAGTCAGGTAACACGTCAATTTCAGGTAGCTGAGAAACACACCTTTAGTTGTAGTTATCCGTCAGGATTACACGTTAATTCATGCTATTGACAACACTCAACACCCACAGGGGTTAATGCTGTGTGACAAGTTGCTTATATCCTCCTCAAGCTGAAACAACCCACCCAAAAAAGACAAGCACTTTACACAGACATATCTGAAATCGACATCCTTCAAACTGAAATTGACAACAGTTGCCACTGTTGCCAAGATAGATAACACTACATAGGAATGTTGTATGTTTATTATATAAAGGGATATATAAAGTAGGAGTTATAAACTACTTAAGTTTCATGCGATGTTTCACTTTAAACAGACAGCATTGAAATTTATTGTATGCATGTAACAAAATCAATATCTTATCAAAAGCAAGGGGGATCTGATGCTATCATTTGAAACATTGATGTTAATATCTCACAGTAATGTTTGTCTTGAATAGGTTATTGACAAGTATTTACATAATAGACTCAAGCTGAAGTTGACATTTTACCTGAAATGTGTTTCCAACAATGACAGATCAATTGTTTGGATTCCTTAGGTTTATCGATTGACGTTGTCTAATAGATTTTGACGTTGGTTGTAATGTATGATTAAGTACGTTATCAACTAATTGATATTTCACATTCAGCTCTAGACAACAGAAAATCAATGACATGCCAGATCAGAAGACAACGTTTTTAACGTCAACCTCTTTCATGTCTTGTATGATTGCGTGAACTTATTACATTCGATAACACATCATCTCTTGAGAGAAACTAGACCGTAGTCTTTGAAATTGTTATTGACAAATTAAAAGTGAAGTTTCTTTTATGTCGATATTTGATCCCTTGTTCTGCACACGCTTTGTATTCTGTGTATTATTTTGTTGGGAATTGTTGATTCATGTGAATTAATCTGAAAAGTACAGAGTACACTGCCGGGCAAAAGAAAGTAGCCACTTAAAAACAGGATTTGAACAAAATATTACAAATGCTCTCCAATCATTACTGGGCAATGTGCAAATATTAGGTCCAAAACATAACTATGGAACCCGTATCAAATACATCGCATAAGCATTTTTTGTTTGTTTTATTTTAGCCATCAACAAACATAGGTGATACTTTCTTTTGCCCAACAGTTTATCACTACTTAAACAGACAAGCATTTTACAGTAATGGTAATTAGTTTAGGTACAAAACCTCTTAAAGATAAAAGGTAAACAAAATAAACATTGATCTTGTCTGTCTTTGAGTTAAGCTTTGAACTACAGATGTATTTGGTCTTTGGATAAAAAATATTTACATATCCTTACAAATACATTTTCTTTAATTTAAGTACTATTTTCACAAGCCTCCACCACCTAATGAAACAGATAACCTAGTCTAGTAGTAATGTAAATCTACAAAGTAAATATATCTGTTAACTCTTTAGAAAACAGTCAATCCCCAAAGAACTCAATCAATCAGTCTTTGTCTCCGAAATCATCTAACAAGACCATCCTGTGTAAAACACAACCTCAAAGGTAACAGCCTTGTCATCCCTTTGATCTTTTCAAATAGCCAATCAAGACACGTGGGGTTGTTCCAGGTAAGTAATTTATACTCATTTGATCACGGAACATGTTTTTACTACAGATTACAGAATCAAGTGCATGTATTATCCATGTGAAGGAGCCTATGAACTTAGTAAGGGGCCCTGAACATGCATTGTGAAAGAAGGAGCGTGTGATAAATAGGTATGAAAATCTGGGTAGATTTACAGGTAGAAACAATGCACAGGGAGAAAATCTGTTGACGCCTGGGAGGGGTGCCTGTACCCCAAGGGGTAGATGTCTGGAACATTTGACTTGGACAAAAAAAATACTAAAGATTTCATTGATGTGTTATTTTCAGAGGCTCCATGTTGTAGTGGGAATATTAACATTCATGAGATCCCATGCTGAGCAGTAGGTAGAAATGAGAACAGATTAAGGAGTGTTTGTATATTGCATTAAAACACTTAAAGTCCTCAAAAAATTAAATGAATTAAATTCAACTTTTACACCAAAGGGAGGAGAGTGGTTTGCATATAATTTGAGTCTCATATAACTGATGCTTTGCAGACCCAGACTGGCATGAAAATCAGATACATACATATGAATGGTCTTTATCAGATTTCGATAAATCTAATATTTGAGCTACTTTCCATATCAATTTTCAAATAGAGCTGACTTAAATTTATAGATTCTGTATTTTACAGACGCAAATCTTGTGAATAATGTCATTTAATTCAGTCTAATTTGTTATGGGGTGACTGATAAAATATGCCTGCCATTCTTAACTTGTCTGATTCAATTTCAATACTTCTGTCTCCATAAACGTACACCCATCTCACTGCTAAATGCATCAGACAAATGACATATAATATGACAATGCTTCTGAAATGCAATTTAATGAAGGAAAAATCTTCACAAATTGAATTATCTGAAAACTATCCCACTGAGTTAAGAAGCACATATGCATGGAGTATTGCATCAATTCCAAGTATTTCAAAGCAGAATAAGAACACTATAGAAAATTCCTACCTTCTTATTCCAAACAGGCTAAAATTCCTCATCCATGTTTAGGTCAAATCCTGACCAGTTCTCACATACAGTGACTGTTAAACATTCAACCCTGCACAGCTATATAGGTAAATTCTATCTTACCTCAGCAGTAACTGTCGGGGAATAGTAATACTCCAGGTAACATTTACTCGTTAAGGCAGGTGTCAGCATTTGATGCTGTCTGTGATGAGGTCAACTCTGCTTGGACACCGGCCACTCAGTGGTCAGGCATTGCTCACTAAGGCCTGGGAGAGAAGAAAACTGAATAAGTACAAAAATACTACTTCTTGTCCAAGCCTGTCAAGGTATGAAATTGATTACTGTGTTTACGAAATTGATTTCATCATGTCAATCTTGTCAATCCAAATGTATATTTCATGAGTCGAGTATAGATAAATTTATATTCCAAAAAGAATTTAAGTATCTGGTATAAGAAATAAAAATAAAAATGCTTGTAATTTCAAGAGGAGATTAAATTTAAATACTTATGATCGGAAACAGAAGTACAACATATTTTACGTGATGTTTATTTATTTCTTAAAGATATATTGAACCTTTTAATATGTCAGCTGCTCATATTACGTAGTTTTATCACTCCCAAATGTCAAATACTCTTAGTTGTGTGAGTCTGTTTAATAAAAATTATATTGATTAGCAATTTGTATAATTTTAAAAATCACTTGATCGAAATCAATAAGAACATAATAATTAAAATTGAAATATATAAAACTGACAGAAATGAAAAAAATAGATAACCCACCATTTGATATACTTTTTCACAATTCTAATACAGAGTCCTAATAGGAATATCCTGAGTGCGAGCTGATCCTTGAGTGACAACTGGTCAAATGATCGCTGGTTAAATTTATATGGGAAGACATTCTACAACGACAATGAATGGTACATCCTTCCTAACACCTGTAGCATCAAAAACACAACCCAGGTATTAATCCATTGTCTTTCACTCAGATCAAACAACTTAATCCCCTTTTCTTTGACAAGATGACCGGAAGCCTCAGGCCATCGATATCATCACATAGAGCCTTGAGCTGAGTTTCACCTTCGGACACTGGTCAGTCGCTCGTCTCGTTTTACATTTACCCGGGGTGAAATTTGGGCTCGGGTCTATTGTTATTACTCAGCGATGCAATTAAAGTCTGGCTCAAGAAAAACAAGAGGGATGCTTCAGAGGGAGCAGTCATTGTATGTAAACATGTTGGGAATAATTGCTCCCTTAATCCTCTTGATCCTTGTAATCTGACTTGTTTAATCAAGGGACAATGGCAGGGGGTGGAATCTGGGGGGTGGGGATAATTGGGGGTGGGGCTGGTGTTTGTGGAAGAGAGATGGGTGGAGAGTGGGTATTGATGGAGGAGAATTGGGTGGTGTGGGGTGTTGATGGAAGAGGGTTATGTGGGTGGGGTAGTTGGTACATGGGCGGTGGGTAGGGTAAGGGTATTGAATGAAAAGAAATAGCTGGGGTGGGGACAAGAGGGAGCCTGGACTGGGTGGGAATGTTTTTGAATGGAAAAAAATGAATGTGAAGTCTTGAGGTTTCAACAAAAAAAAGGGTGTAGAGAAAGGATGCAGGGAGAGAGTTCAGGGGAAGCTGCAACCAGATGTACATTTAGACAAAGCCACTGGGGTAGGGTTGTGAGGATGGCGATAAGATTAAAGGTGGGGTTGTGAGGGTTGCTATATGAAGGTTGGGTGATGTTGTGTCCAGCTATATGACGGCAGTCTGTAAATAATCGAGTCTGGACCAGACCATCCAGTGATTGACATCATGAGCACCGGCCCACCAAATTGGGATACGATTACATGCATCAACCAAGTCAGCGAGCCTGACCACCCGATCCCATTCAGTCACCACTTACAGCAAGCATGGATTGCTGAAGACCAATTTAAACCCAGAATTTTCTCAGGTTGGGTGAGGTTGTGAGGGTGGAGATACGAAGGTAAGGTGAGGTTCTAACATCAGTGACATGAAGATGGGGTGAGGTTCTACGGGTGGAGACATGAAGGTGGGGCTGGTCTGAGGGTGGAGATATTAAGGTGGGGCAGGGGTCTAAGGAGGGTGAAGAAGGGCTTTGAAAATGAAGACATTGAGGTGTATGTAAGTGGGTGTGTCTGTGTTTGGAGTTTGTGTGTGGAGTTTGTGTGTGTGTTTGTGTGTGTGTTGGGGGGGGGGGGGGGGGGGGGGGGGGGGAGGGTCTGAGGGTGGATCAGTGCACAGGAGGAGGGAAATCTGATCCCGTCTGTGACTGGCACACAGGACATGGTTATGATGTGGGGAGACACACAGTGGCAGCTACACACATGGAACACGTTGTGGAATGGGAAATGGGTGTAGCAGGGACAATATCACAAGTGCACCTCTCAGATTAAGATCTAGCTCTGTAACACAGAGCAAAGTGATGGAGATATGTCTGTTAGATAAGACACATGGAACCATACAGAATATGTTAACCTTTTACAACCAAGAGTAACAGGCAGAAAGAAGCAAGTTGTGGCTCGACAGCAGCCTGAGACAGCACAACCAGGGAGGGATATGAATATATGTATTTCAAAAATAATAAATTGTTTGAACAAATCTAGTCTGCACTTAACATTTGATAAAGTAGTCAAACATACCATAATGATTCAAACTAAATATTTAGGTTTGTGAATATTATTTCTCCATTATAATAAAAAATGTGAAGTCTCCATTTCAATTAATACCTGATAGTTTCTAGGCTTTCAAAAGTCATATCAACATTTGCATCACAATTCACAAGCAAACCTGACAATAATCTTAACTTCAAAAGCATCTCTCCAAATTAACAAAAATATATACAAAAATAAATAAACTCAAATTATTAATTCCACTAAAACATATATCTTCTCTTATACAGGAAACCTGCAGACATGCCCAAAGCCTGCGCATCCTAATGTAAATATCCTCAGGTGTAAATTAATCATGCACACCTGTATTAATTAATCCAGGTAAACCCTTTGTACAGAGATGCCCTCCCTGTGCATTTATCTCTTTATGCTGTGTTTCATTGAGCCCATCTGTCAACACCACACAATAGCCAGGCCAATTATAGTATCCTGTCTGCTAACAATACCTAGATATTGTCACACCCCAATGACCAGAATTATATTTCCCTTGATCTCAACATTACAATAATAAACCCAGAATGCATCAGTTTCTACAAGAAGAAACAGGAACTAATTATTGGATTTGCTTTGGCTACTTAGTATGTTAATATTTGTACTGTTTTACAAAAGGATGAATAAGCCCCAGTTTGAATGTGTATGAGGTACCAGTCAGGGAGTCCCTAGTGACTCCAGGCAAGTTTTATAATTATCGGATGATGTTGTTTTCCGAGTCAGTAACTGCAACTGAATTCTTTCTTCAGTGGCTATGCAGATAATATCTCTTTTTCAAGCTACACATATTTTCAAATAGAAATGATCAAAGAGGATATGGGAAAATTTATGGATAATGGTTTTATATGATATAGTCATTGTGAGATGAAAGGAATTAATTTCTTGGAAATTTCTGAAAAGAAGGTTTCTTTCAATTTGAGTTTGTTTTGTGAGGAGAGCATTATCTAGTTCACTGATTCGATCAAGGGGAAGATGTATATTCATCAGAGAGCTGAGAATGCAGTATGAATGCAAACTGATCTGTTGTCTTGTTGTAATAGTACACCATGACCTCCGATGATGTATCATCAGCCTAATCATAGTGGTTAATGCTACTGAGGATGTTTTGATCTTTGGTTATTTATTTCATCATCATCAAGACAATTTTTTTTAACCCTAGGGAATTCTTTGTACATATGACATAAGGGCCGGGCTAACTGATTATATAATATCATCATCATCATCGTCGTCGTCGTCATCGTCGTCGTCGTCATCATCATTGTTATTGTCGTCGGTATCATCATCATCATCATCATCATCGTCATCAGCATCCTCATTCATTAACACCACCATCCCTATCATCATGATATAACAGCTTCTCATATTTGTATTGTCCTACTGGTGAAACATCATGAGAACTATGAGAGAAGAGTGGTGATAGACTCTATGTATGTCTGTACCTGTCACACAGTTGGTGCTTCTCTATCATATATCAGAGGAACTGACAAAAGAATAAGATAGGTTGATGCCCAGCTCCCAGTGTACAATCACAACAAGCAAACATATAATTTGCCGACATATAGACCCTATTCATCAATATGAAGCTCAAACAGCTTGGAGTAAGAAAAAGTCCACACAAGCACATAGAAAACCACAGTCGTTACTAACTCCATAAACCAGCTATATAACTGTGTTAAACTTTTATGCCACAGCAATCCTTCTCTTGTTACAGCTGACCTCGGACATTTTACACTTAACTTTGAGATCAATTTCTCACGACACTATTCAAGGTCTACTATCCCAGGACTAATGCCATACACATTTTCATCAGCCTTGACAAATAGCACACTCATCTTCAAATGATATAGACATGACAATGTCAGATGATGTTTAATGGGTCATTAAATGTTAATTTCATTCTGCACTGCTGACTCCGTGGGACATGCTCTTATTGTGGAGACCTACAATAATGTGCATAGCCGCCCTCCGTTACTGACGACCTCCAGTGCTTCATTATTATAATGTTGATACAGATATGGTTTAATGACACTTTGGGTTTTGAGACCCCCTACAAAAATGTGTCCAACATCCTTGATCTGTCACTGTGATGAAGAGGTATCAACATACTTTACTGGTTGCTCAGCAAATTGCTGACTCATCAGATCAAGTACATTGTAGAGTTGCTATACTGATCTAAATGCTTTTTTCGTATACAAAAGTACATTTTTCAAAAATTCAATGATCCAAGGCACAACAATCAACTGTTGCCTCCCTTTACTATGCCAGGATCCACTAGTTATGAATTCAAACTAAGGCAAAGGGAAACTGTCTAGTCCCAGCCAAATTTATTCAAGTTGTTCCAACACTACCTTATCTGTCTGCTACTGAATACATCATGATGATTATCTATCTAACCATTAAAAAAAACAACAATGTGTCCACTCCACATGAGATGCTAACATCTAGGCATTATAAGTCCCCCTTGGGCCTGATATAGGGATAAATTACCATGGACCAAAGCCACTCTCAAAGACTTTGTACCCCCTCCCCCTTCCTAATATGTCATTGTGAAAATAGAATTATTCTCTCAGATTCTGATATATCTTGGATT